TTTTTTTTTTTTTTTTAAATGGATGGGTGCTTTTTATTTCACTTCTTTTGGACTGAAGCAATGCAACACCCCCTGACTGCCATTAAACAGCTTGAAAGATCAAAGACAATTTTTTTTATACAACTCCGACTGGATTCGTCTGAAAGAAGAAAGTCATATACACCTAGGATGCATTGAGGGTGAGTAATTTATGAGCTAATTTTCATTTTTGGGTGAACTAACCCTTTAATTGCTTTTTTTTTTTATTTTATTATTTTTTTTTTTTTATGATCACTCTAAAATGATAATTTTTCTTCCAGGAGCGAGAACGGCAGAAGTGGGACGCATTGAACAAGAAAATAGAACAAGAGAATGAACGAAAGAAAAAGATTGAGGAGGAGAGACGAAAGAAACAGGAAGAAATGAAAAGGTGGGAAGGTGCTTTTCCTATGTGTGTTTGCCATTGATTGATTTGGTACTATTCAATAAATCTGGATAATTAATCTAGTTTAAGTGTGAATGCAAATCAGGACTCAAAAGTGAATTCTGTCCGCTTTAGGAAGCGGGACGAGCGTTTGAAACGGGTTGTTGAGGCTCGAGTGAAAGGTGAAAAGGAGAAGGAGCAGGAAAAGAAAAAGAAGATTGAAGAAAAGATGGCACAGCTGGAGAAGAAAAATGACATGGTACTGAAGCAACACTCTACAATGCGAGTAAATCACTCGCATATGCGACTAAATCTTCACTCTGGGTGACTAAAGTATGTCTAATATTAGCCACTGGCTAATACTTTTTTTAGATTTTACTCGCCAGTGTGAGAGTTGGATGCTAAGGCCCAATCCCAATTCTAGCCCTTCCCCTTTCCCCTCCGTTTCGCGCGTTCACGTGAAGGGGTAGGGGTGTCTCAATTCTCTTTTGGTTGGAGGGGTAGGGGTAAGGGGAAGGGCCAGACAGCCCTTCAAACGAAGATTTTTCGGGACCACACTTCAAACGAAGGGGTATGAATTATCTCAGCGTAAACCAGCTTCAGGGGCAACATGACTGCCCGGGCGAACAAAGACCCATAAATGTAAGCATTTTTGGCATTAATAAAGATTTTAATGAAAAGTAATCATTTGTTGTGTTACATTCAATCGTGTGTTCATATTTACGGTCATGCTATTCAAAGAAATGTATGCAAAAAAACGCTAAAGTTTGCTAACGTCATATCATTGCTGACTGTACGATAGTGCCACAACATATTTTCATGTCTGATCAGGGCGATAACCACCGTAGACATTGAGGAGGGCTAGTACCCCCAATAATTAGAAATCGCTAAACCCTTTCCTCAAATATTGCCAATTCGAGAGAGAGAGATTAAAGTTGCGTGTATGTGCGTCTGTGAGTTTCTCTTTTTAGAGTTTACGTCAAAAACAGCAATTTTATCCTCTCATTCCTGGAAAATATAATGTAGCGATTCTGTATTTAAACTGTTATTAATAAAAGTCGTGGGGCAGCATTGACAAGTTTCTTTGCTCGTGTGTGTGTGTGTGTCAGTAAGCAGCGCGTTAATATAGAACCGTAATTAAAGGCTCTAATGCACACACCAGCACACCAGTATAGGTGTGTGTATTGTAGGAGCTAGACGACGTATGATGATGTGTGACGTATAGTAGTGGGGTCCCAATTCTAAGGGGAATATTTTCACCCCTACCCCTTGACGCACTTTCAAGGGACATGGGGAAGGTGTAGGCGAAGGGGATAGAATTGGGATTGGGCCCAAGTATAAGTTTAGCACAGATATGTTTGCACTCACAGAGCACTCTGACTGAGTGCTTCAGAGTTTCAGTCTCTGTCAAGCGATCTGTGCTATTTTTCATTTCATCTCATCTCAATGGATGCACAGCGCATGTGTTTGTGTATTTGACGTACCGTAAACTCTAGTGTGAAGGCGCACGACTCGCCTTCGCTTTGTCTCACACACGCAAAGAGAAAGAGCGAGAGTCTTGCATAACATGCAGAATTGACATGCAACATTTAAACGATATTCTTTGTTGTATTTTCCAAATAACAGCGTTCCTTTTGGAATTCTTCAGCTTTTAAGAACTGCCGGGTTCTCCGGTGGTAGGCGGAACTAATGCGCAAACGGCAATCTCATTGGCTGGCGCTCACTTATTATCATCCCTGTTTTGATTTCAGCAAATCAATTTGAGCGAATGCAGACAACGTGATTAATATTCACATTAATATAATGACCAGCAGCTCATTAATCCTTTTGCGTTTTATATTGTTGTTAGTAGTAGAATTCGCAGTAGTATTATCTTATCAGTGTTGTTTTTTTGTTTTCCCCCCTTTTATTTTTATAGAAACTCTAAATGACGAACTCTAAATTAAGCACCACCACCAGTCCTAAGTTCAGTTAAAATGACAAATATGCATTCATACATGGTTATTCTAATTACTAAAGTTCTATCATATAATGCTTAATTATCATTAGAGATGCACCGAATGTTCGGCAACTGAAATTATTTGGCCGAAAATATAAAAAAAAGCTTGAATAAGCAAAAAGACCGAATAAATTGTTCTGAACAATGATGTGACTGGATCCAATAGAGGCGCGCACTAATGCAGCAAACATGTCTGCAGTGTGGAAGCATTTAAAACTGAGAAATACGCAAAAATCATTATAAGCACTGACAGCGAGAGACTGTTTAATACTGTGTTGCGTGTCTTCAATGAGAAGAGGAAGGGTGGTTGTTGCTGGTTACTGTATGATGATTGAAATCACAAAATGGCCTCAAATGATTAGTAAATAAACTGCAGAATGTTATGTTTTCTAATGTTTTAAAAGAATTCTCTTCTGCTCAGCAAGGCTGCATTTATTTGTACAGTTAAAAAATACAACTGATTCAAGAAGGGGGTCTCAAATGGTTAACTTATTAATTTTAAGTTAAATTGTGCTTTGATGGTATAGTGTCTGCTAGAATGTTAAAAATTGTTCAGTAAGTATTTTTAAATCTAGACAAGCTAGACAAAACCGTAAAAAGCACATTTTGGCTATTTAATTTATGCAATGGTGGAAAAAAATGTTGGCTAAATTTATGGGGAGAAAATCTGTATTCGGCCTTCGACCCTGTAGCTTTGGCCAAGAATTTTCATTTCGGTGTATCCCTAATTGTCATAATATATTATAATTATTGACTGACTTCTGTTAAGTGTACTTGTGTATAAAATAGTATATCAAATATTTAATATTAGTCTGGTGAGTAAACTAAAAAAATGTACTAGCCAATGGCGATTCTATTGCCATGGTGTCCGTAGAGGGTTGTGAAGATCTTAAGACTCAGAGGAAACCCACACTAACTTTTCTAGTGTTAAGTTGGAGTGTTTGATTAAAGTTTTTCATAATCTCTATTGTGTCTCACTCACTCTCTCACTCAGCTGCGTGTTGAGCGGTTGGCTGAGGAGAAAGCCAAGAGGAAGGTTGCCACTAAACGACAGGAAGAGCTGGAGCTCCGCAAGAAACAGGAGGAGGCAGCCAGACAAAAGAAACTTCAGCAAGTTGTAAGTCAACCTCAGCAATCAAAGTGGGGAGCCCATGTTGAAAGAAATTCATGTGTAGGTGATGGATGACCTCAAATAATGAAAGCGTACTTTACAAACAAATTGTGTATTTATTCTTTTGCAACTTTCCTTTTCGATCCAAATAATATCAAGCTTAATATGTTCGATTTTTATATATAGATTTGTTTCTTATGCTCATCAATGCTGCAGTTATTTGATCTATATAGTGAGCAGTAATATTCTGAAATATTATTACAATTTAAAATTGTTTTCTGTTTGAATATATTTTCAAATATATTTAATTCCTTTGCTGAAAAGCTGAATTTTCAGCATCATTACTCCAGTCTTAAATGTCACATGATCCTTCAGAAATCATCATAAGATGTTGATTTGCTGCTCAAGAAACATTTGATTATCAAAGTTGAAAACAGTTGTGCTGCTTCATATTTTTGTTTTTAAAAAAACTGTTTTTCAGTATTCTTTGAATAGAAAGTTTAAGAGCAGCATTTATTTGAAATAGAAATGTTAGTATGATTATAAATGTTTTACTGTCACATTGGATCAATTTAGTGCATGCATAAAAGTGAAATTATATATTTGTTTAATTATCCCAAACTTGTATAATTTATTAATTTTATTTTTTGTAGCTAATTATAGTTAACTATTTATATACTTGTCTTTTTCTTCAGGAGGAAGAGGAGCGGCGGCACCAGGAGATGCTGGCCAAACGCAAGGCTGAAGAGGAGCGAGAGAAGGCCCGCAAACTGGCCGAGGCTGCACGTGCTCTGGAGCTGAAGAAGGAACAAGAGCGGGAGAAAGAGAGGGAGCGCGAACGAGAGCGGGAAAGAGAACACGAGCGGGAGCGAGAAAGACAGGCTGTAGCTGAGAAGTTGGTGTTCATTTTTCGTGCACTTGTTTGAAATGAAAGCATTACATTCAGAGTTACTAAATACACATGTTCATGTCTTTGCAGAGAAAGACTGGAGAGAGAGAAGGCTATTGCTCTTCAGAAGGAACTGGAGAGAGCAGCCAGAGAGAAAGAGAGGAGGGAGATGGAGGAGAAGAGGAAGATGGTAAGGATTTTGTTGTTTGTTGTCCTAATGACTTTTCTGTTATTTTTGTCATAATCGGCATGCAACAAGATGTGTTGATGGTTGGTTTTTATATTTCTATCATGTGGAACACCACTGGTCTAAAATCCCATAATCTCATCAAATTTGTTCCTTTAACAGGTAGAGCAACGGAAGGCTGAAGAGGAGAGGGAAGCCCAACAGAAACGTGCGGCTGCAGCCTCCGCCCCGGCGCCCCCTACAGTTACAGCACAGGTAATTACCAACAGCTAAAGTCAATTATCCTTGTTTTTTAGTATTATTTATTATATTCTCCTATCCACCTTTTTCTTTAACGTGGAAGTAAGCCTATGGGCGAGACTTCGAGATCATTAACCGCTATAGGTAAATGACAAGAATAACAACGTGCAGTAAACGGTAAAACTGTTTGCACCACAAACCAGTGTGTTCATAATTAAGATAATACATTAAAATAATATGGTAAGATACCAATTTTCAATATCAAGCATCAAAACGAACCGTTTTGTACAGCTAAAAATAGCTGGGCGCGAATGAGACCAGAAGCTAGACCCATAGAATTTACAAATGGCCACGCCCATTTTTACGGCAAGAAAAAGGTGTAGTGTTTAGTAATTTTGAATTAGCTTTTACATGTACTTTTTAAGTTTATTTTATATGCATTTGTCCTTTATTAGTTAAAATGTATGTGTGTGTGTGTGTGTGCGTGTAATTTCTCCCTTTTTTTTTTTTTCTTTTTTTTTTTTTTAGTAACTTATTTTAATGTAGAAATTTTTAGGGCTGGTTATATGGTTATATTTAGGACGTTATATGGTGCATATATTTAGCAAAATGCCCCTCTCTACAGTTTATTTTTCTATCTGACTAATGAGTTTATGGTCAGTATATGTTTTTTCTGAGGTAAATGTGACGTTACGTGACACATTGTTTACAAGCCGTTATATTGACGTCTTTGTGCGGCTTAAACACTGATTGAGCACATACATGAGACAGGATATGGATTGTAAAGTTGTACTCTTTTAACTTGCCTTCGGATGTTTAGTCATGTTTATTTTGTGCTGAAACTGGTATTAATGTGGAGGAGATGATCCGTTCATGTGCGCTTTGCTGTTGAACTGAGGCGCTACAGCGATCTGTCACTCCACATTAAACAGCGCCAAAACTGCATTTATTGTTTGAATACTGCAATACAATGGACAGAATTTTAAATCTGAGACTTCGTTTCATATTAAAAGTACCAAAGCACAATGCTTATTGCGATTTATTGGATGGGAGGTGCCCTTCAATGTTCCGTCCATTAAAGTTAACTGAAAACAGGCTAGACTAATCGATTCTTGGATTTAAGAATCGATATCGTTCTGTAAAAATGAGAATAGATTAATATCGAGATATCTATATTTTTTTTACCCAGCCCTAGTAATTTTACCACTTCAACTAACTTAATTCAGTTAGTTGCTAAATCCACATTTATCATTTTACTTTATTCATCTAATATTTATATTTGGTTCATATTTTTAGCTAACGATATCAACACTGGTAGGCAGCGTTTTGTGGAAAAATAATAAAACTAAATTTAAAAGTGTACACACAGTGGGGAAAATATTTATTTGATCCCCTGCTGATTTTGTAAGTTTGCCCACTTACAAAGAAATGAAGGGTCTGTCATTTTTATGGTAGGTTTATTTTAACGGATAGAGACCGAATACCAACCAAAAAATCCAGAAAAAACACATTATATAAAGGTTAGAGATTGATTTGCATTTCAGTGAGTGAAATAAGTATTTGATCCCCTACCAACCAGCAAGAATTCTGGCTTCCACAGATTAGTTATGTGCCCATGTGGAACACCGATTAGTCCTGCCACTTTAAGAAGTTACTCCTAATGTCAGCTCGTTAGGTGTATAAGACACCTGTCCACACAATCTGTATCTTCCATTCTAACCTCTCCCACCACCATGGGCAAGACCAAAGAGCTGCCAAAGGATGTCAGAGACAAGATTGTAGATCTGCACAAGGCTTGAATGGGCTACAAGACCATCAGCAAGAAGCTTGGGGAGAAGACAACTGTTGGTGCATTATTTGAAAATAAAAGAAATACAAAATAACCATCAATCGGCCTCGGTCTGGAGCTCCGTGCAAGATCTCGCCTCATGGGTTAAGGATGAGTTGTAAAAGAGCATAATAGGACCCCTTTAAGGCAGTTGGGACCACAGTCATCAAGCAAAACATTGGTAACACTACGCCGCAATGGACTAAAATCCTGCTCAAGAAGGCACATGTACAGGCCTGTTTAAAATTTGCCAGTGAACATCTAAATGATTCAGAGAAGGTGCTGTGGTCAGATGAGACCAAAATTGAGCTCTTTGGTATTAAAGGGGGTCATATGATGCGATTTCAGTTTTTCCTTTGTCTTTGGAGTGTTACAAGCTCTTGGTGCATAAAGAAGATCTGTAAAGTTGCAAAGACTAAAGTCTCTTCGTATTTCAGAAGGCGGGCCTTCATTTGATACAGGAACTATTCGAGCCGTTCATGCCACACTGGGGAGAGGGGTGTTATAATGTAAAATACGTGAAAAATAATGTGTAACCTAGTATGAGAGCCTGTTTTAGTACACCCCCAAAACAAAATCAAGACTTTGTAAAAGAGCATAATAGGACCCCTTTAAAGAAACCGATATGAATACCCTTCTACATTACAAGAGTTTCCATCCCTGGAATACATTTGGGGGCATTGTATGATCCCAACCTCTAGGATTTGCCAGAATCTGCACAAGAGAAACTGATTTATAGGATGCCACAAAAATCCATTTCAAAGCATTAAAAACAAGGGGCTATTCATGATCACGACTACGACAATTATGCAAACAACATGTCCAAACTTTTACAAGTCCTAACGTCCGACCCTCCCCAACAAATCAGATCCTAGTTCCAGCAATACGTTTTTTATATTTAAAGAATTTGCCACTGACGATTCAAACGTGGGTTTTGAGCAGTGTAGAGTAGCGTTTGTAGTTTGTAATTTCACCGATCACAAATGCAGACATGGTTTTATGTTTACACAGCGCAATGCAACGTGTAAAAAGACCATATAAGTCATTATAATCCATAATTATGTCCCCACTGAATGCAACAAATGCCTCGTTTATAATGGGTTTTAATGT